ATATAACAATATATTGTTACCTCTGCTGTGGATTTCTAATACTATTTTCATTCCAACAGTAAAATTTTTTTCTACTATGCAAAAAAAAAATTGCAAATCACACAACCTAGATTCAATTTCATTTTGAATATTTATAAAGTATATATAACTTTCACAAAAGGACTTTCACTTGAAAATCCTACTGTATTTATGTGAGTGTATATATATTTCTATATATGTGAAAACTAGATTTTCTAAAATAATGATACCCAGGTATACACAATGCAGCATTGATTACAATTTTTTATTGTTACTTGGAATTAACAAAAATATATATAATATATATATATATATATATATTTCCGTATAATGATTCGATCTCCGTGGAATCAGTTGAATTATTCAAAATTCAAAGAGCGTACTTGGTTTCCGCATCAAGAATATACAATATAAATATATATATATATATATATATATATATATATATATATATATATATATATATGTCCAGTCGAACAAATTTATTCCCTCACGACACCCCCTGAAACGTCACTGATGCATTATGTCAAATATATGCAATATATTGAACTTTCTATGGAAAATTTGGTTTAAAAATTTTTTTAAATGAATTTTAAAAAATAAATCTGGGTCCGCCATATTGAATTTTGAAAATCTAATATCAAATTCATAATCAGCGACCCAAAAAACCCATGAGTAAAAAGTTTCAAGTAAATCTGATCACTTTTTTTTAAAAAAACATTCTTCCGCCATATTGGATCCGCCATTATGAATTTCTCAAAAACCGACATATCATCGATTCTCGAAACTCGCCCGAGTAACAAATTTCTTATAGAATATATTTGATCCTGCTATTATTCAAAATTTCAAAAATCTGCCTCCAAATTTGTATAAACCGAACATAACCTACAAATTTTTTTTTAAGATCCCTTTGCTCGTGGAGCGTCATTATACGAAAACTTATGATTACTTGCGACTATTATCATATAAATATTATTCATATCAAATAATTAATATTTGAATCGAATAATTATTTGAATCAACTAAATGGCATTTATTTGAAATAGAGAAATTATTGGTTCAAATATAATTTATTTGATAAATAAAAATTATTTGGTTCAAATAAATATTTATTTGATAGTCAACAAGTAATCAAATTTCTTTTTCAGTACAATGGCTATAGTCGTTAAGGCATTGAGAAAAACGAATTCATTTTTGCGTGATGCGTTCGAATCCATCTAGAGTTTGTAAAATTTTTTTTTTTCAATTTATTCTCAATAAATATCTAAACGGAAAAAAATCATCACCTGGGAACAGCGATATATACGTTTCTCTAGAATAGAGAAAACTTTCACTGTTTTTGTGAAATATATCGCTCTTCCAGTGAAACTTATCGCTGTTTCAGGTATAGATTTTTTTTCCGTGATAATATTTGCGTTTTATAAAATATAAAATATCCAGGGCCGTATAATTGATTTTTCTTTAACATGAATATACAAGTTTTGCACTTATATATATATTAATTCCTCGCGTGGCCTCTCTCACGACTTCCTTTTCTCGCGCGCGCTCACATATATACAATATATTGTTCTTTATATATATGCATTCACTTGTGTCTGCATATACACATTGCATTGGCCTTAAGTCTAGTGTATAAAGAGTTCGATAAACCCGCGCTATTTCATATATAGTGTATTACAACTCAGGAAACGAAGGCCGTGGATAGACAAACGTTGTGCATATAATATAAACATATACATATATCTATAATCTTCATTCTGAATGTATGTCGCGTAATTGATTATTGATAAGAACTTTTTACGCTGGGATACAAGGCGCTTATCCTTTTTTAATGTCACGAACTTTCATAATGTTTTTAAGTATGAAAGTCCTTGCTCCAAAAAAAAGAAAGAAAAAGAAAAATTCTCATCAGTTTATTTACTCCACTTATATAAGGCAGTAACCTTTTGACATAACCTCAAACTAAAAATTTACGAAAATAAAACTAGTGAAAATTATTTTTTTTAGTTTTAATTTTTAAAATGTCCGTCCTCTCTCACCTGAGTTGCAACAGTTTCCCCGTTAGAGCGCTAGTGTCGCTAACTAAGAACCAGTCGAGTAGAAAGGAAAATGTTAAGGTTATATGTATGTTATAAAATCAATTAATTTTGATAAAATTTTCTGAAATTAATTATATTAATGTTAAACATAGTTTAAAAAAGGGAAAATTTTCTCATTCTCTCTCTCTCTTTCTCTATCGATTTTATTGTATTTTATGCCATTGGCACACGTGTTTTACAATATATATATGTATATATATTCGCGTCGCATCTGTCGTAAATGGAATCTCTTTCCACTCCATTTGTTCTGCAAATTTAACGGCCGGTCGATTATCGTCAGCCGCTTAAAAAGAGTTTATAGATTACATTGAAAAACTGATTTTCATTTTATATAATCAATAGAGGAAATTTTAATTGTACACCTAAAACTATCCTAAACATAACCTATAATTTTTTATGATTCTTAGGTCCCCTTTTTTAGAGTGCCTCACATATTTGATTTGCATAAAAAAATTTTTCTAAACATTAAGTAAATATTATTATTATTATTATTATTATTATTATTATTATTATTATTATTATTATTATATACTGTTATTATTACTATTACCTATTATTATTATTATTATTATTATTATTATATTATTATAAATTAGTAATTGGCAAATTTATTATTAAATTAGTAAATGGGGTAAAAAATAACCTTATACGGAAGAAAAAGGTTTACCTGAACAGCGAAACGTTTCACTGTAGTAACAAAAATTTTATACATGTTTCAATTAAATCTTTCGCTATTCTAGTGAAACCTTTAGCTATTTCAGGTAAATATTTTTTTTTCGTGTAATTATATTAAAATTATTATTATATTATTTTTTTAAATATTCCTGTTTTTTACAAAAAAAACCGTAAAATTTGTTTTTCATGTTTTTTTTATCTCCCACTTTTTTTCTTTCTTTTTTTTTTGATTGGAAGCCCCTGTAAAGTGTATATAAAAGTCTGATTTTGCTAACGATGCATGTGCCATTATAGAATGGTGAACGCACTTTTAGAGGCTTTCAAACTTTTAGGGTTTCCTCTTCCGCTGTATAAGATCTATATATATATATATATTCTGGAATGTCACACGTCAAGGATTTAGTTATTTTTTTACTGAAAATTAGTAATTTTTTTTTACTAACAGTAAATTTTTTTTTTTCTAATTGTTAAAGGATTTTTCTACACCAAGAGAAAATATATATTTTATTTATTTCAAATAAAACATTTCTCTGTGTGTAAAAATGATTTTTAATTCTAATTTAGAGATTAAGAAAAATTTATTAAAAAAAAAAAAATTTAGCAAATGATACTAAAGAAGCAAGTAGAACCGGTCCTTGAAAGAGCGTAAAAGAACAAGCGTTTAGTTCTTTCGCAATAAAAGTGGCACCACATATATCGAATCGTTGACGTCATAAGCGTTTTAAAAAGGTTGTGGTCTCTCGACATTCTCTCGTATTCGATGAAAAAGATCACACGATGATATCATTCTAGTCTTCTTGCGATCGATATTATTCATTCTTGTGTATGTCTTTACAAAAAAGGTGAAATATTCATTTGCATTGATCCTCTTTTTATTTATTTTTTTCTTTTTCCATAGATCGCAAAAAAAAAAGTAACAAAAAATCTCGAATATACAGAAGAATACATTTTTCGAATTTTAAATACTTTGCCACTGTTACATAATGTACTTTCAAATTGTATATATTTGAAACACCTTTTATAATTTTTTTTTCTTGTTAAAAGTCATTCCACGTGTGAAATATTCATACGAAAAAAATTTTTTTATTTTTTTTTTATCTAAAATAATATTTTTTTATTTTTCATAAAGATTTCGAAAAAAAATATCCCAGTTAGAAAAAAAAAAAAAATTCAATGAAAATCTCACAATGGAATACTCCAAATATATAGTAATAGAAAATTCAAAAAAAAAATTTCATTATCAAAAGAGATAATATAAAGCACTTGCGATAGTTACTCATTAATATATATTGTGGACATAATATTCTGTAACAAACATGTTTTTGCAACAAGAGTGCGATAAGAAATTTTTGTTTAAAAAAAAATTCTATGATTATTATTTTTTGAAATTAAAAAAATAATCATTACAAAATATATTCTTTTTTTTTTGGTAATAATATATATATATTTATATAAACGGTGTAATATATTTTTGATAATGAAGGAAATTTCGTAAAGTTAACGTAAAATCATGTTTGGAGGTTTCAGAATTGGATGTAATTTCAACTATGAATCAACATAGAGAGGCTAATTTGAATTGTGAAACTTGTTCTCTAAACCTTATACGAGTGAGTGTAAATTCTGATCTCTAGCGACCGCATCACGAATTCTCTATACTTATTTTAAAAATAATACAGAAATTAACTAAAAAAAAAAAAATAAAATAATTTAAAATTACTTATAGGCAAATTTTTATTTCTTCGAATTTTAATTTGCCAAAATTTCAATTGAGTAATTTTCTACAACTTAAGCAAAAATTTATTTGATTCAAATAATTCACTATACATAATATAATCAAATAAATATTTACTAGAGCCGCAAATAATTTTTAACTTTAATTAAATAAATTGCATTTGAACCAATAATTTCTCTATTTAAAATAAATACTATTTTAAATAATAATCATTTCATATAAAAATAAATATTTATTTGATGCAAGTAATCAATTATTTGAATTAAATAAATTTTTTTCAGTTTATTATTATATAGAATTTTTACTCATCCGAAGTTTTTACAGAATTTTGATAAATTTGTACAAATTTTAGTTTAATAATAATAATAATAATAATAATAATAATAAAAATTATGAACATAATTTATAATTTTCATTAAAAAAATTATAAACATAATTTATAATTTTTATAAAAAAAATTTAATATAAAAACTTACGTATGGCACGGCAATGACGAGATTAGCATTTCCTTCACCGCGATAGGCACATTCAAAAGGCAATGAGTGAATTTTATGTTTCTGAACATCGGAAATCATTTTAGAAACATTTTCCGATGTTCGCGAAATCTGTATTGATTTTATCGCCAATGAGGCACTCGTCTTAGTTGATGTTCCTTCCTTTTCCAGGATCATGATATTTTCCACCTACTCTGCAAAAAAAGAAGAAAATAATTTTCAAATTAATAATTAATATTTCACAAACTAAATTAATTTTTTCTACAAAGTTAGAAAGTAGAATTATCAAATTCCAAATTTTTATATCAATTTTGCTTTTAAATTATATATTCCAATAATTAATAAAAAAAAAATTTACAAAAAATAATTTTATATATATAATAAAAAATATTTTATTAATTTCCCATGTAATCAACGTTAAATATTGCATTAGATTCTGAAATTTGATTGACTAATAATTTTCTATCCTTGAACGAGATTGCAGAGCTTCGAGGTTCGGAGACTTTCGTAATTAGTTATTTTATATATATAAAAATACGATCCATAAATCTACAAGAACAATTTTAGGTTTATAATATATTTCGTTGCCCAAATAACAAGTTTAACAATCGTAACGAGACTAATTGAAAATTTCTCTATTATAAAAACAGAATAGCAAAAGTCCCACCAAATTTTTGCTATATTAGGTGTTGGAAATCTAATAGACTATGACTTACATTCAACGCGCTCTACTTTCTCTCATTTTTCAGTAATAAAAATTAATCATTAATTTTTACATTCAATGTTTACATTTCAAAAAAAAAAAAATTTATTATATATAATTATTTTTATTTTTTCAAAGTTGCATTTAACAGATTTTTTTTTTCCTTTCAAATGAATATTTCACAGAAAATTAAAAGGCATTAAAATAAGTTGCAACGCTTATTATTTTAATCCAATTTTTCTTATTTCAATCCATTTTGGTATTAAAATAAGCAAAATTGGATTAAAATAAGAAGCGTTGCAGCTTATTTTAATGTCTTTTAATTTTCTGTGATGGCAAAAGTTACTGTGGCAGAAGTTACTATGGCAGCGGTTGGTTTCTATGGCAACCGTTACTATGTCAACTGTTACTAGTAGCAACAGTTACTATGGCAACCGTTACTATGGTAACAATTGGTTTCTATGGCAACTGTTACTACTAGCAACAGTTACTATGGCATCTGTTACTTATATGGTAACAGTTACTATGGCAGAAGTTACTATGACAGAAGTTGCTATCACAGAAAATTAAAAGGCATTAAAATAAGCGTTGCAGCTTATTTTAATGCCTTTTAATTTTCTGTGTTACTTAACTTTTACCTATCCTTAATTTTTAATTAAATTTTATCGAATTAGAAATTCTATATAAAATAAAAATTCGGTACAATAATTAAAATAAATATAAAATATAATAGAATCTAATTCTTTACTTATGAAACTTTGTGGAGGGAAAAATAATTATTTTTTTGCAAACTGTTGTATACGTCGGCAGTGTCATCCGAGTTTACGCAATATGTCTGTGTGAAGCGGTTGAGAGTGCACTTGGCACTGGGCTAAAAGCATCGTCTGGACAAGTAAAAGAAGAGAGACAAGTTTCAACTTGTCTGCTATGAATACAAACTCGTTTCTGTTATCGTATATACATATATAATACATATTACAATAATTTCATTTAGCAAACGATTTAGTAATTAATCCCAAAAATTATTTATATCAAATAACTTACAAAAATCTTTCAGAATTAAATTAAAAAAAAAAAAAATGAAAAAGAATATTTCAATTTGCATCTATAAACACCGAAATTGATTTTAATATATATATTTTTTATTTCTACTTTCTTTCTCTCCCTTCGATATTTTGTGCGTGGTAAATCCGAATATATGTACTGTGTACCTTCTGGTCTGATATATGTTCGATGAAATGAAAATTGTGGTTTGAATTTCATAAAGTGAAAACCATTTACAGAAACCGCGTCTAATATATGTATCGGTTTGTTCGAATTTATGTTTTACAGAAATTATTTCGAATTTGTTCGAAATTTCGAATTTACATTTGTCCGAAATTGCAAATGACCGAACAAACAGGGCCCAAATCGGGGCCGGATCAGGCTGCCCTATTAGTGAATGAAACGCCGCGCCTGATGTGGCCCTGATTAGGAAATCTCCATTTTCTGGTCGCCCTAATTTGGCCCTGATTAGATTTGGCGTTACATTCCCTACTAGGAATCTGATAGGGAATGAAACGCTGCGCCTGATGTGGCCCTAATTAGAAAATCCCTATTTTCTGGTCGCCCTAATTTGGCTCTAATTAGATTTGGCGTTACATTCCCTACTAGGACAATTTCTACACGGGTAACCATAATCACAATTTTATGGCTATTTTTTGATTGCAGTCAAAACTCGCGCCGAAATCATTTTTATTTGTTCGGTCATTTCCAATTTCGGACAAATGAAAATTCTATGTAATGAATAATAAAATGGAAATTCTAAATGATTTTTGAAACTTATTTCCGAATAATAGAAATGCGAAAGTAGGAGGAATCAAATGATAAAAGATGCGGTATTAAAAAAAAAATGAAAATCGGTATAGCTCGATGCTGCATATGAAAAACTTGATACGATATCATGAATGATAATCTCGTTACAAGGACAGTTTATCACATTATATGCAGGTTGCCATTGTCTCTTTCTCTATATGTGAGCCAATAATTATTGTATATAGCAAATATATAAAAATATAAGAAGTCCTGCAAAAAATGTTATTTAAACTTTTGTGTATATTTATATTTCTATATAGTTGGATATGTTTATATATAGCTATATAGTTAGCAACCATGTTGCCAGGCCGATTATTCGTCTTTATCCATTTTTGCGATAAATCCGTTTAACTAGAGGCCAACGACCGAACGCGCCACATCATTCTAGTCTTAACGGCTTCTACAGTTGTTGCACTTATATAAGTATATATATACATACATATATATATATCTAAATTCTAAGGTCTATACTGTAAAATTTAAGTTCCCAACTTGAGCAATTCTTTATTGAACTTTTAAGTAATTAGCTAATTCCCAATGCGCCAACGAATTCTAAACTGAAAGACTTAAAAATTGTTTCAAAATGAGGAAAATTCTGTATTTGTATACTATTTAGTGGTATATGAATCTACTAGTTTCTGACTAGATAATACTGAAAATTAGTATTAAATTTTGGTATTTTTAGGAAACAAATTATATTAATTATTGAAATAAAAAATCCTTCAGTGTACACAGAAAAATATGCTATTCAATCAACAGCATTTCTGCTAAAGGCATAAAAATTATTGATTTTGAAGCATATATGCTATATAGAATCTATATAAATTTTATAGCATTTGCTTCAGAATCAATGATTTTTATGCCTTTAGCAGAAATGCTGTTGATTCAATAGCATATTTTTTTCAGTGTAAAATTTAAATCCGAATATGAATATAACCCATAAAAATCATTAGCTTCAACTTTCATTTGTATAAATTTCATTAGAATTTCTATTCAGTGGAACCCACGTACATCGGACCCTCATAATTCGGATTTCTTTCCGATCCCTTGAAATCCGATATACGTGGGTTTCACTATAAGTAAATTTTACTAATTCAAAAGCAAAAATGTTAAAATTTTTACTAATTCAGATGTAGATAGTAATACATTAAAATTTGTTCAACAGAAATTCGGTTACATATTAGAATTTTGGTTGTAATTTGTTTAATTTATGAAAAAAAAACTTTACTTAACCCATATAGATATACCTAACAGGGTAATAAGGGTTGAACTATAAAAAGATATTTATCAAAGCATGACAAAAAAGACACTGGGCGATGGGAAACGAAGAAAGAAGTGGGTCGCAAAATTATACTGCACTAATCGTTTCATGGAACAAAGTACATGCAAAAAAAAATAAAAAGAGTCGGTGAAGCCTGGTACAAGGCTCGTAATTTTGACAGACACAAAACCCACTATACGTATATCTCAAAAAAGATAATCACAACGAAATTAACGCTATTAGTGGAGAAGAATTTTATAAAGACCCTACAAAATTTTTATGGGGGTTTAAAAAAATAGAGCCTTTTTAGGATAAATCTGCGACGACGCTACAAATTGCTAAAAATATTTTTTTTTTTTGTCTCCTATAAGACATAAAAATTATCTTACTGACTTAAGCATCCTGTTTAGAAATCCCCCTTTGGGATAACGAGCCATTTCCTGAGATATAACTTTTCTCTTTGCATTACGAATGTAACTCACGAAAATTGATGACATCATCTCCTCTCTCTCGTTCAATTTCTCCTCCCTCATATATGATTTTGGATATTATAAATTACACTCCTTAAAAGACGGAACAATAAAAATTATTATTCACACTTTATATTTAATTTATTTGAAATAAAAAAATTATGTAACCAATCTTTGAACACAAAAAAAGTTCAAAGAATTTTAAAACAGTGGCAAAAGTTGAATGTACAAAATTTGAATGTCTTCCAAAAATATTGAATCTTTGGCAAAATTTCAAGTTTCAAAATCTATTCATCAAAAATAGAGAAATATTACCCTTTTTTTGGATAATGAATAACAATAAATTTCAAATTGTGTAAAATTTCGAATTAGTTAAATTTCACTAATTCAAAAGCAAAAAATTGATTTAAAATTTCTACTAATTCAGATTTAGGGTTATTTTTTTTCTGTAAAAATTTCGTGTAATATTTTCTTTATAGTACGTGATAATAAGCGATCGATTTTAATTAAAATGACATTGACATGGGGACAGCAAGAAAAATCAAGGTGAATTACAAGTTCAGGAAGGACCCTACGATTGCCCTGGAACCTGGAGGTCAACATCGGTTGTTGCCCCGAGTGTGAGTTGTTGGTTGGCTGTGTGCCTGGTTGTCTGGTTGCCTCGCTTGCCTGGTTCTCTCGTCAGATAGAATTGCCATTCCGGATAAATATATATATATATATAAGCAGTCTGTAACTTGGTACCATCATCAATATGTATACCTTCTTTTTCACCATTTTTCTCCGTCTCGTCGTCTTTCTCCTTAACTTCATCATCCTTCTTCCCACTTTCGAGCTAATGTATTTACTTTGATGATATAAAATCAGATCATTTCTCATTACTCCAAAAATAACACTCGATATTTA